CCTTTTTTGGGGGGGGAGAGAACCCCTTTTTTTTCTTTCTTTTGCCCCCCCCTCTTTTTGCATATACTTTCATTCCATTTGCACCTCATTTCATTGTAGAATCTCTCCTTTTTTTCAGCCTTTTCTCCTTTTGAGGGAAAACCCCTCTTTTTAGGGCACCTCTGCTCTCTTTTTAGGAAGGATTTCCTCTTTTCTGTTGTCCCCCCCCTTTTTGGGTGCAGCCCCCCCCCATTTCGGGGCTGGATTCCTTTTCTGACAGCCTTTTGTTTCTATTACTTTAATAGGACCATTTCCCTTATTTTTATGGGCGTTTTCTCTTTCTTACCCCAAAACCCTTATTTTAAAGCCCGCCATTTTGGGATTTGGGGTCACTTTGGTGTCATTTTCACCCCAAATTCCCCCCCTCTCCCCCCAGCACGAGGTGGATCTCTGTCGCCGCGAATGTCCCTTTGTCATCAAACCCAAAGTGCAGCGCCCAGCCGCCACCGCTGCCCTCCCAGAGGGCGAAGAGATGGAGACCGACATGGAGGGTGAGCTGTGGGGGGGAGGGAAAGGAAAAAAAAAACCCAAAAACTGCAAGGACACCCCCAAAACTTCCCCCCTCAACCCCCCCCTCACCCTTCTGCTGTCCCCACAGTGACCGACGTGGCCATGGAGAGCAGCCCAGGCCCTTCTGCCGAGCCCAGCACCAGCAGCACCGCCGTGTCGCCGCGCAGCGGTAGGCGATGGCAAATTGGGGAGGGGGGAGAGAATGGAGTTGGGGGGGGCAACAGCGTCACCGATGCGACCCCCAGTGCCCCCCCTCCCCCCCATAGGAGTGCAGTGCATCCCGCAGCGCGCCGCTCTGCTCAAATCCATGCTGAATTTCCTCAAAAAAGCCATCCAGGACCCGGCGTTCTCCGACGGGATCCGGCACGGTGAGTGGGGTCGGTCTGAATTGGGGGTGGGGGGGGGCAGAGGAAGGGGGGGGTTTGGGGACAGGAGGGGATGCAGTGCGGTGACACTCGTCCCTTTGTCCCCATGCAGTGATGGACGGCTCGCTGCCCACCTCCCTCAAACACATCATCAGCAACGCCGAGTACTACGGGCCCTCGCTCTTCCTTCTGGGTGAGGGGCTGCAGGGGGGGATTGGGGGCACCAATGGGGGGGGCCTGGGCACACCACAAGGGCCTGGGGACACCATGGGGGGGTCTTGGGGGCATCACAAGGACCTGGGGACACTTTGAGGATCAGGAGACAACACAGAGATCTGAGGACACCGTGGGGTGGTCTTGGAGACACCATGGGGGTCTTGGGGGCATCACAAGGACCTGGGGCACCACTTGGGGGTCTTGGGGGTACCAAGGGCGCCATGAAGACTTGGGGACACTTGGAAGATATGGGGACACCTTCAAGACTTGGGGGACCCTTCCAAGATTTGAGGACGCCGTGAGGACTTGGGGGCAATGTGGGGCTTGGGGACACTTCCAAGACTTAATGCCATGAGGACTTGAGGATGCTTGGGGACACTATGAGGAGCTGGGGACACTTCCAAGACTTGAGGACACTTGGGGACACCTTCAAGACTTGGGGACACCATGAGGATTTGGGGACACTTCCAAGGCTTGAGGACACCATGAGGACTTGGGGTCAGTGTGGGGACTTGGGGACAACTTGGAGACCCTCCCAAGACTGGAGGACACCATGAGAACTTGGGGACACCACGAGGATTTGGGGACTCTTCCAAGACTTGGGGGCACTTGGGGACATTTTCAAGACTTGGGGACCCTTCCAAGACTTGAGGACACCATGAGGACTTGGGGTCAGTGTGGGGACTTGGGGACAACTTGGAGACCCTCCCAAGACTCGAGAACGCCATGAGAACTTGGGGACACCTTCAAGACTTGCGAATAGCATGAGGATTTGGGGACACCTGGGAACACTTTCAAGATTTGGGGACACCGTGACATCTTGGGGACACCATGAGGACTTGGGGACACTTCCAAGACTTGGGGTCAGCGTAGGGACTTGGGGACAACTTGGAGACTTTCCCAAGCCTGGAGGATGCCTTGAGGACTTGGGGACACTTGGGGACACCTTTAAGACTTGCGGATACCATGAGGACTTGGGGACGCTTCCAAGATTTGGGGACACCATGAGGACTTGGGGACCCTCCCAAGCCTGGAGGACGCCATGAGGACTTGGGGCCAACATGGGGACGCCTCAGGGCCACGAGGATTGTGGGGCTGCCCTGTTGTCCCCCCGTAACGCCGTTGTCCCTTGCTGTCCCCCGCAGCGACGGAGGTGGTGACGGTGTTCGTGTTCCAGGAGCCCTCGCTGCTCTCCTCCCTGCAGGACAACGGACTGACGGACGTCATGCTGCACGCGCTGCTCATCAAGGACGTCAGTGCTCAGCCCCCCACCCCAAAACCCACCCTAACACTTCTGTTCCCCTCCTCCTCCCCCAGACCCCTGTTTTCCCCCCCAAACTCCCGTTTTTGCCCCCCTAGCCCCTCATTTCCTCTTTAACCCCTCAAGACCCCTATTTCCCACCCCCCAAACTCCCCCTTTCCCTTCAGACAACTCATTTTTCCCCCCTAGACCCCCATTTTTCCCACCCAAACCCCCATTTCTACCCCCAAACTCCTCCTTGTCCTTCCCTCATCCCCCTCCAAAGTCCCCATTCCCCTTCCAGACCCCCACTTTTATTCCCTGGACCCCCATTTCCTACCCAGACT